TTGATACTTTTCATTTTCATGGAGCTGTCACCAATGCCTATTGGCCTTGACTTTGCAATCAAGGGGCGGGCAGTCAAATGCTTTCAAATGAAAGAGTTCATTAATATAGTGGGAAATAAGGGTTGTCTGGCTGTGCAATATTGGCTCTGTGTGAGGAGTGATTGGAGCAATTGATGAGGATTTGTAAGGAAGAACGTTGATGTGGAAGTGGAGAGGGGCCACCTCAATCACGGCAATTAAATTAATTAATAAGACTCAAGGGGAAATGGAAATACCGAGAGGCGATCCAGCATGTGTGACCATATGCATGTGTGCAAATATCATACTTCAGCGTGAGCGCCCTCCATTCTTTCTCGGCCCTGCTGTCCAGACATATTGACTGTTGTGAAAGCTGTGGACGACATGCGTAACAGACATGCTCTCAGTTAAATCTTTTAAAAATCCAATTCCCGTGAAGATGAGATTCCTTTGTCCCCAAGCCTTGTTCCATTTTCCATCGCAATCATCGGGCATCGATCCGATTCAAAGCTATTTATTTTTGTTGCAGCCATCATGTCATGAATTGACAAGTGTGTAGATCGGGTAGATTACAATATGTCTGGGAATGTCGCCTCGCTCATAAAAGAAGAATCATGACTGCAGAGGGCGAATACCAACATTTCAATCCTTGCATTTTTTAAGGCATTAGCATTTCTAGGTACAACTTTCCATTCATTGTTTTAACTCAGCAACACTGGAGTGCCAGATTATAGGAAGCAGCCTTTCTTTAAAGCAGTGGCTTGTGGCCTTTTTGGCTTGTGAACTGTTCAAACAGGAGCAGCAATATTCTTTTTTCCCCCTCATGTTTGAATAGTTCCCACTGTCACCAGCGAAGTATTATATTAATTTGCATCCATTTATTTAATTTTCCAAGAGGTGGGCGATATCCCTAAATTACACCAATACAATATATTCTGATCTCCATTTTTTGGAAGAATTGGATACCACGAAGTTTGTAAATATCTCTCTGGTGGACCTCAGCAAGGTTTCCCCCTTTCTAGTACACAGCAGTCCTTAAAATGTCATTTTTTAGAATTATGTCACCACAATGTAGGTTCTGTCAGGCCAGATCGAGAGTTCAACAGAAGTTAGCTTTGTCCTCTGATCTGTTTTCTGCAGAAACAGGAAACGAAACCCTTGTGTCCCTTTCAGGAAACATAGCAACAATGATCGCTTGCTGATGGGCGACGAGGCTGTATGGAGAAAGAAATGGCCTTCAAAATGGGCCTCCCATTCACTTTGTGGCCCTCCAGCTCTCTGTGTGCCCTTCCATGCTGTTATTCAGTGGAGAGGTATCAAAAGAACGGTCTTATTTTTGAGACCGTGATCTGAATGCCTTCATGTAGGCCGCGGTGCTAGCTTTATTTACATTCTTCATGTAATGGCATTCATATCCAAACACTTAATACCACAATAAAAGCACGGTAATGGTTCCACTTCCAACTGTCTCTGTACATTGCTCTTGAAAACAACAAACAATATGCAAGCTATTCTGTGTATATGTGTGTGTCTTCAGGGGGGGGATCAAAGCATAAAGTTGACCAGAGTCAAATGCAATTTAAAAGCTCTTTATATTCCCATTTGTTACAGCAGAAAATAAAAGGACTCTGGGTCAGCCACAGCGCAGCTCGCCCCGCAGCATAAATGTTGTGCCGGTCAATTGTAGCACCGCTAAAATGAAGAAAGAGGCGACGAAACACTCATGTTGCACTTCCTCCGATGAAATGGCCATCTATGGCATGAGCAATTACCTCAATATCCCGTATTTCTCTTTGCTAGGGGCAGGTGGCGTTTAGAATGAATGCGTTTTTCCTCCTTTTTAATCAGCAGTAGAATGGGAAGCCCATTGCTATAAGCAAGAGGGCGGAATTATGATTTTCATCCTTTCTTCTCAGACCCACTGTCATCGTGCCATGTCTGCAGGTGATCCTCAGAGGCCCATGCAGCCTAGAAAGATGGAGTTGATGCGTTTTAGATGGCTTTTAGAGAGATGTGGACGGAGGATGGAAATTGCATGCCAGGGGAAGCAAAATGAGCAATTTTTCCTCCCATTTCCCATCCTCTCTTCACCGGATCTGTGCTTACTCTTTCATGAAGGCTTTGTTTTGACATTCCATACATCGGTGTGGAGATAAAAAGTCGTGCAAAATGCCAATTGACAAGGTGGGTGGGTGGGGGGGGAGAAGGAGACTGTGCAAGATAATGCACTATCACAACTACCTGTATTTATGCACATTGTGACCGGTGTTCTAAGTGGCTGCTGGTGAGGCATTCAGACGATTCAGGAGAGCCCATTTAGGGTGCTGTGTTCTCAGCAAAGGCTTTTATGCATTCAAAAGAAAAATGCTCATACTATTATCCACAGCATCTACTTTAGTGGAAGCTATAGTATTTACAGCTAACCTAAACCTGCCTCTAGTACAAAATGGGTCTTTTGATCAGAAGAAATTCATACAGAGGCTGTGTCCATTACTGTCCATTTACTTCACACCATTGCATTTGAGTGTGCTGAAAAGACAGATCACAGATTAAACTCAAGTTTTACATTTGTTTTCTGGTTCACCACCTGCTTAAAACATTGTCTGAACAAATAAAGGACCACAAACAACTTTCTTCATTTAATAGAAATCATTTTCTTTTCTTAATCTGTTTTTTCCTAAATAACTTGTATTACAGATACAATTAAAGCCAGAGTGTAGGAGAGACAAAACACCTTTTACATCATTTATCATCATTTCATTCAGTCACGTGAGGCTGATCATTCCTGAGTGTGGGGTTTGATGAGTTATATCATTTTAATTTCCCCCGAAACATTGAGGCGAATAAATTAATTCCAGTGTTCAAGAGAAACCATAATCATATGCTGGGTTATTGAATAAAGACTTCACAATCAGATTTTCAAAACATACAGACGCATCAGAAACAGACGTCGCTTCACGTGACGCTACAGAGGAATGGACGTCGCATTTCTCTTAAAACATATTTCCTTGTTTC